TAATCAGAAATGTGCGGGCTACAATCATGCCAATTAAGAACGATTCGGGTTATTTTTTGGGGTTTCTGAAAAAACTCGTTTTCTAGAAAACCAGGTCTTCGAAGGGCTTTGCGGAAGCCGCATGGTCGATAACCTATAACCCACTAGATTCCGAGCAAAAAGCGTTTAATCACTTCGTGGGGTTCCTTCGTAAGAGGGCTAAACCCGCACAAGCTGTTAATATCTAAATATCTGAGGCGACTATAAAATGTGAACCCGTACAAACTGTAAATAGCTAAATATCAAAATATCTAAAAGGCCTACAAAATGTGAACGTCCTAAAATATGTAACTAGCCTACAAAATGTAAACATGTAAATGTCTAAACATCTAAGTACCTAAACATTAAAATATCTAACTAGTTTACAAAACGTGAACGTCCACAAACTGTACATATATAAATACATAAATGTCTAGATATCTAAATATCTGAACATTGAAATATGTAACTAGGCAATAAAATGTGACCCTGAAAAAACTGTACATTTCTAAATATCGAAGAGGCCTACAAAACGTGAATCTGCACAAACCGTATATATCTAAGGTTTTTCAATAAACTGTTAAATAGTATGTGCACCCTAACTGAAATGACATCGAAAACCTTCGATGAAATGTGAATAGGGATAACAATAGGTATTCTTTGTGCTTTTGCTCATGTACAATTACCTATACATATTTCACAATTATAGAAAAAATGCACGACAGATTACATTACAGTGATCTTGATAATTGATTTTGATGATACGCTCACGTTTTTTCCTTTTTGTTGATGTCATTTTAAATATTACGATTTTCTTTGTTGTTATTGATTTCCTTCTTTGGTTGTTATTATTACAATTGACCATTTTATTTTTGTAAGTAAAGCAAATCTTTATTTGTTTTACTGACGATGGTTTGTACTTTTCCTTCTTTTCTAAGATATTCAAAAATGTTTTAAACATAATTCATCTTTAGTTTTTATTTTGTGCTTGCAATATTTTCTCATGAATTTGTTTCTCTTGTTTGTTTGTTTTTTGCACTTATCATACGACTAATATGATAACTACACCATGATTGTAGTATATTTTGTCTTATATAACTTATATATATGAGTCATTTGCAACTTTATTGTACAATCGAGTTTTTGTCATATTTTAAAAATTAATCCGGTTTCTGGAAACAGATTTCGAAATTCTTTTTTTTGTTTTATCGCTTATCGCTTGCTTCACTACGACAGAAAATCTCTGCTCGATATCTCAATAACTCACCAAGATAAACCTATCAAAAGTGGACAAAAACCTGTTTTTAGATGACTTGTTGAGCGAAAAGTAAGTTTTTCTAACAAAAGAAAGAACGAAAGCAAAAAGCAAATAGTACGTTTTGGAGAGCATTTAATGCTCTATCAAACTGTGTGCCTTCATGCTTGTTTTGTTTTTTTGTTTATGGTCGTCTATGGCGAAAATCGTTTTACAGACAATTTGGAGATCGAGAGAAAAATCAAACTGGGCACTTGAGAAAACGTTTTTTTGGGAATGTGAGGTAGAGCAAGGGCGGCTGTATCTAACTGAGAAAAAATGCTTTGTTAAGTGTCTTTCTTACCAGGCGAAAAAATGGAAAACAGAGTTTTACGTTCAGTGTGTAGATTAAGATTTTCCAACTTTTGACATCCGCTGTTTTACAAGAACTTGCCTGACTGTAACAGCGTTGACCCACAAGAAAGAGTGTCAAAAGTTGCATAAGTGGTGCAATTTTCCAATCTTTAAAACATACCTAAGTACGACAAAATTACAATATACCGCGAAATATAGAGCTAGATTTTTTGTGGATCGAGATTACTCTAAAAGTTTTTTCGGTTCTTTTACTCAAAAACCAAGTTATAACACCAATTTTGACTCCTTATATTCTGTTGAACCTATCTATCCATAAATTTTACGTAGTTCTGACGTCGAGTTTCTCTAAAGTGGCTGACCACCTGTAGGCTGCAAGCTTTTCGTTTTACTTCTGAATAAAGCGAAAAAGAGAGAATGGTATTGGTCAAAAATGTTTGGAATGGTATGGAATGGCCCGGAATGGCCCATTCCGTCTTTCCCCCCTTGATAATAAGAGATAATTTCCGAAAATTGAAAGAATTACCTCAGTTTTTAGCCGCTAATAAAGACATAGAATGAGCGTAACAGCCTAAAATATAGTGGAAAAGAAGTGCATTGTTGCAAGAAAGTGATTACATGCAAAGAAAACACGTTCAGACTAGCACTTTATCGTCAAACACTGTGAAAGGACAGTTTTTCAGACGAAAGGTAGGGTTCTAACGATCTAACGTTTGCTGTTCAGGTCAGACTAAATTAAATATGGTATGGATCGATAGATCTCTTCGAGACCTATCGAATAGTGTATGATATATCCTCTTTTAAAGCAGCCTCGAGATCATTACGGCCTAAAACCTAGGGTACGGAACCTGTCGAAGTTTTTTGAGGTTTATCTCAGTCGCTACGCATGTGTTAGTCGGAAAATTTGGGTTCTAGACTCAGAAACCAGCCGAGAACAAGATGTATTAATTAAATTTTATTTAAAGTCACTTTCATTCTTTTTCACCACTTGTGCAATAAATTTGCAAATGACTCATATATATATATATATATATAAATTCATATTTATAAACTGTAACTATTGACGGATAATAATAGTTTTCTTGGAAAAGCCAGAACCGTTTTTACAAGAAACATAATGCATCGAAATGGTTACATTTATTTTTGTTGTTATGTAGATTACATCTTATATTTATTTAGCAAATATCCCCAAATAAAAAGCACAAATGTAGATATAAATACTTAATCACAAATCGAACTAGCACAATACTATGTGTATGAATATTTTTGACAAAAAACAAAAATTTGTATGTAAAAAATAGTGTATATAGTTGAATGAATTTTTATCATACAATATATACATACAATGTAATTATTTCAACTTTCAACATTATAGTCTAAATAAACAAGTTTATACAATTCAAATATATACATAATCTTTAATACCGTTCTTTTAACACTTATGGTGAATTTTAGAAATTTCCATTAGATAACTCGTATCGTTATAAGTCATTAAACATCTAGTTTAGAGGTCTAGTACCTAGAGTAGGGTTCTAATATATCTACTCTATGATCATTTCTACCAAGTTATTGTTTTTTCAGGGTAATTAGTAACAAGTAAGAGTTAGAAGAAAAAAATAAGTTCAAACATCTAAATTTTTTTATTCTACAAATAATTTTATATAGTTGTCGAATTTACGTATTCCACCTTTTACTTAAAAAGAGGTCACCATAGAGTTCGTTTTGGTCTTACGTTGATTCGTTTCGTTTAATTTCATATTTGAAGTTGTAGAATAAATACCCCACTGCATTGTATACTGTTTTGTGATGTTCCGTTGTTTACGTAAAACATCACATATACGATTGTACTGGTTAAGTGATAGTAGATCTTATACTTCGGTCAGCCATCCATCAAGTTGATCGTCAGTAATTGCTGCAAAACGATTCAATGTTTTACTTATTAAAATGCGATCTGCTGATGGAAGCTTCTCGAGATATTGTTGAAATTTTCTTGCTTTATGTATGGGATTAAATTTAATTACTGAAAAATGTTGAGAATGAAATTTGCAGGTCATGACACTGATTTCACGAAGTTGACTCATGCCAAAGCACTAAGAATGATCGATTAGATATATCTTCATTTTAACAGTATCATCGTCAGCAACTTTTATATCCGGCATTGTAACCAAAGTATTTCGTGGGTTACGATCTGCATTCTGAACTATATGACCGAATACATCCATGGATTTCATCGCTGGATCGGTCAATAATACTTTTATTTCCATTGGTAAATCCATGAATGTAATAATTTTGTCATTCTCATTAGCAACATCAGTATGCACAGTTACTATATTATCTTGATAAATTTCAATCTGCACTTCATTAACAGGCAAACTAAGTGTGTGTCCGAACGCATAGGCTAATCATTCATTGGCAGCACATAATGGATGATCTTGCGTTTTGATTAAAACTCGTCGACCTTGAGGATCACGCATTGATGCACTACTGAAACCACAATCAAGCTTCTCGCCTTCAACTGTCCAATCCGGTCCGATTTCGACGAATGCTGGCTTAAGCGAATTATTGTCAGTTTGCTGTTCCATTGCGACTTGTTTCTGTCTGGCTAATCCATGCTTCACGGCTTGCACAACAGCATCACTGGCACGTTTTTCTCTTGCACACACCTCGATTGTACTATCAACCATTACTCTGAAAGGTCCTCGCAGCACGCTAACAATGTTATTGGAGAGCCGTATCTTTCGACTGACCCCTCTGGATGTTGGTTTTATCGTCCTTGTTGTCGTTGTATTAGAACTGGCAATCTTTATCGTTTCTTATTCTTCTTCCTCTAGGTGCATTACTTTCTCTGCATGAGTTAGATCAAGTTCACTTTCATTCTGATCCTTGTTCGATAGACTCAATGCAATGGCGTTTGCTTGTTGTATCGGGTGATTTTTTTCAGTATCAACACTAGATTGTAAATGACTCTTTTCGTTGGATGATAAAAGATTCGATTGTGGCGATTCCATTACTTCAGATATATTGTCCGATTGAACGTTCATGTCATGAATATGTAATTGTTCATTTGGTACTTTTGTTAGGCTATCATTATTGATTTCTTACAGTTTTAATCTTAATTGTTTAATGTCTTTTCTTAAACGTTCTATATCATTTTCAACATAATCATTCTGATCGTATTTTTGTTTTAATCCATTTGTCATTGTAATAAATTATTTTTCCACACTTTGTTTATCTTCGTTAATTAGATCTTGTAACTTTTCTTGTACTGTATTTGCTGTTGTTTCAATTTTTCGTTGATTCCATTTGTAATTTATAAATTTGTTTTACCAAGTCTAATGTGACATTTGTTGATAATTGTGATGTTAACAACTTCAATTCTTGACTTAATAAATCTCGTGTATGTATAACATATTTAAAATGATCCTTCAGTTTATTGTGATGTTCCAAATAATGATCACTACAATGTATTTTTCCACATCCATGACATTGATTTGTAGCTTTTCTTTTACATTTGACATCACATTTAAGATATCTGTCCGATGTTCTATCAACTGAATGTGAGTGAACCATTTTCTGAAGGTTCTAAACAAACTGTATTAAAAGCTAAAATTGACAAAAATAAAAGACAAATACACTATATCTGAATTCCGTACAAATAAATTTCAAGTGAAATTTAATAGAAATATCTGCTTTTTCAAAACAAATATCTATATAACGAAGATAAAAGATCTTGTGATCGTACGACATATGATTATTAAACGCCAAAAGTAGCCTCATACTAATTTGTAAAAAGGAATAATACACATGCAATTGAATATGGTGCTGATATTGAAGGAATCTTTTCTGTTATAGCATGACCGTGGCGGATGTGGTTATAAGTAAGCGCTTGAGCATTTGAAAATTTCCACTAAGTATTTGCTTATAATAAACTCTAAGAGTTTCTTGCTAAGTATTTGAGTACTTATAAAGTGATTCTTACTTAATGGTTTACACTCAAATGTTTGCACTATTCTTTCCTACTCCTCCTTTTATTTTGAGTGTACACTATGTATATATATAACAAGTATACTTCAATTATCAAAGTTTCTTTTTCATGTTAGGACATGGAAGATATATTAACCCTTGTACTCCCAGGCCTATTTACAATGGCTATTACAAATAGCATGCATTCATAGAATGTATTTCATACTTCGATCCATGCAAAAAATTAATTTCATCTCATTTTCTTGTTTTTTGAGAACAGGGTCTAAGTAGACCCTGGTTGGTAGCACAAGGCTTAAAGGAACAATTCGCTTCTATAACGTATCGTTATAGGCAACATGCTACCAGGCAACTCGATTGATGAAAAACTTGGATAAGTAATTATCCAACTCAGTTCTAAGCACTTTAATCAATTGAAAATACCAGTAAGCACTTGATCAAGCACTTTTAAGAAATGTAAACAATCATAGGCACTTGAATACTTGAAACGTTTCAGTCATATTCAAAACATTCCTCTTCTGAAACACCAGTTTCTAAGATGTCTTCTCAATGATTTTGGTAATGATTAGTTTCGGTTAACTAATTCAGGATTGGAAAAAAAACATTCCTTTCGATTAAAGCAAATAATTCATCGTCCAACGTTCAATTATCAATGTAAAATATTTTTACTACCCGTTACAAAGATCTCAGACAAAATTCTTGAAATGAAATTCTTGAAAAAAGAAATGCGAACTAGTAAACCCCCCCCCATAATAGAAGCCTCCGGGGCTTCTAAACTGTCCAAGTGTTCAAAATTTTTAGGGGGGGGGCTTGTATTATGAAGGGGCTACTATTACGACTTTCGTACAAAAAATTTTCAGAAAAAAAAGGAAATTTTGA